GCAGCGGCGGCCCTGTCGGGGGCCCTTCGGGTGCAGGCAACAGAGGGTCCCTGGGGCGCCCGGGAAGGGGGTGGCCCGGGCAGGGTTCCAGCGCTGCAGCCGGGCCATCAGTCAGTCAGCACAGTTCCCTCCACACTCCTCCTCCTCGCCCCCCTCCCCCTCTCCCTCCCTCTGGGGGCTGTGCAGGGCAGGGCAGCCAGCCGTGGCGCCTCTGACCTCCTGGTGCTCCTCCCGTCCGCACAGAAATCATGCACATGTCGCCCTGGACCGCCCGCCTGTCCTGCAGCCTCTGCCCGCAGTACTCCGTGGCTATCGTGCGCTCCAACCTCTGGCCCGGGGCCTACGCCTTCGCCATGGGCAAGTAGGTCTTCTCCTGGCCTCCCAGCAGAGGGCGCCCCAGCAGGTCCGCACACACGCACACACTCACACACACACACACACACACACACACTCGCGAGGGTGGGCAGAGGTTGGGAGGGAAGCCCCCAAGGCTGAGCCCCTCACTCTGCTTCCAGGGGCCCCACTGGCCTAAAGGAGAAACCCCCACACCAAGAGGGAAGCCCCTCGGAAAAGAGAATGGGGGAACCGGAGAGGGGAAGGGGCTGGCCCCAGGGAACTGGGCATGTGCAGGATTCAAACTGGGATCTCTGGTCCCCTGGCCCGGGCTTCCCCGCTGTATGCGTCACAGCTTGACGGGACTCAAGAGTCCCCTTTGGGGTGGCCCTGACGACAGCAGCGTCCTGCGCCCCATTTGAAGGTCTTCTTTCCCCGCCCGTTGCTCCTAAAGATTTTCAGGCCGCAGTCACTTTTGCATCGTCCCACCTGCAGCTACACACTCCCGCCCACCAGCCTCTCCGCCCCTCTTCCCAGGCTAATCCCAGCCTTTCTGATCAGCCACTAGAGGGCGTCACCTGCGGCCACAGGGCGAGCGCACTTCCCCGGTCTGTCCACCAGGTGGCAGGGCGATTTTTCATAGGTTTGTGTTTTTTTGTTTGTTTGTTTGTTTTTTCCCCTTTTCTAGTCGCTACCATGATACACAGTCGAGGCGGGAATTCATGTCATCTTGGTACTTGAGCCACATGCTTGGCGATGATTACTTTTTCTCCTCCAGAAGCAGGGAAGAGGCACGCTCGCTCTTGCCAGCACACTGCTGGCCACATTCTGATTTGTCCATGTCCCTCTGAAAACAAAACACCCAAATCGGGAGCACCAGTCACCCATCCACCCTCTGTCCCCTAACCACTCGTCCATCCACCCTCCCACCCACCACCCAATCATTCATCCATCTAGGCACCCATCCATCCATCCATCCATCCATCCATCAATCCTTTTTTTTTCCCTCTAAAAGACTTGAATACCACTGCCCGCCAGCTGTGTGCTGGGCCCCAGGCCCTTGGTTGGAAAGGCAGATGTGGATCCAGCCCTGGGAGCAGACACAGGAAGCATGGGCATTAATTGCATAACATCTCTTACCCGCGCCCCCCCACACACACACACCCTCCTCCAGCAAACCCTCCCCCAAACCCTGTCACAAACTAAGAGGAGTACCACTGAGGAGAATGGAGGGACCAGTTTTTTTTTTTTTTAAATCAATCTTTATTGTTCATATTATTACAAAGGTTCCTCATTTCTTCCCCCCTCCACCAGGTTCCTACCCCACCCTCCGCCCCCTCCTCATCCCCCATTGTCCTCATCCATAGGTGCACAGTTTATGTTCAGTCTCTTCCTCCCTCCCTTTCCCCCCGAGAACAGTCAGGAGGGACAGCTTTTGTCTGTCCTGCCTGGAAGGGACCAAGCAAGGGTTCGGACCAGCCTTGATCCGAAATCTTTGGGGGAAGAAAGAAGCAATGGGGGGAGGGGAGTAGGCAGAAGGACATTCTAGACCAGAGTGTCTCCTGAGTGCTAGGGCCGGGCTCGCTGGGGGATCTGGTGGAAGCTCAGGCTGTGGTTGCATGGGTCGGGGCTGGAGGCCGGGATTCTGCCTTCCTAGCAAGCTCAGCCTCCAGATCAGCAAGGTCAAAGTCAAACTGCTCCATGACAACCTCCCCATCCTGTCTCTCCTGCTGTCTCTCTTTCTCTCCCTGCTTCTCTCTGCTCTCGCCCTGCCTCTCAGCTTAGTCTCCTATTTTCTCCTCTTTTCTTTCCCAGTTAAAACTGGGGAGAGGCGAGGTGGCCGGGACCCGACCGATCCTGTCCTGAGTATTCTCTCCTCCCTTCACAGCACAGGCAGCACACAGGGATTCTTGTCAGTTTGTCACTGGAAGCTAGGCCCCACATCCAGACCAGTGCTGTCCGTCGTAAATGAATCAGGAGTCACCTATGGCATTTTAAATTTCCCAGTAGCCTTATTCAAAAGGTAAAAATAGCCCTAACCGGTTTGGCTCAGTGGATAGAGCATCGGCCTGTGGACTGAAGAGTCTCTTGTTCCATTCCGGTCAAGGGCACCTGCCCAGGTTGCGGGCTGCCAATAAATGCTTCTCTCTCATCATTGATGTTTCAATCTCTCTCTCTCTCTCTCTCTCTCTCTCTCTCTCTCTCTCTCTCTCTCTCTCTCTCTTCTCTCTCTCTTTCTCTCTGAAATCAATAAAAATATATCTTTAAAAGGTAAAACTAAATAGGCAACATTCATTTTAATATATTTTATTTAACCCCAAATACCCAAAACATTACAACGTGAAATCAATAATGTAATAATGATTGATGAGCTATTTTACATTCTTCTCTTTATATAATACTAAGTCTTTGGAATCTGAGCTGCGTTCATGCTTACAAGCACACCTCAGTTTGGACCTCCATTTTACCTGGGAATACTTGGCCTATATCCACCTCTCACAACCTTTCCGATTGCAAAAGTGGACTCACGCACCCAAGCTGTCCCGGTCAGACTTAGATGTTTCCAATACTAAGTTGAGTACTAGCTTTATTGCTAAAATTTAAATGAATTAAAATAAAACAAAAAAATCCACTCCACACAACCACAGCAGAATACAGATCTTTCTCAAGTGCCCACAGATCATTCCCCGGGACAGACCATATGCTAGGCCCTAAAACAAGACTTAATGGATTTAAAAGGATTGATCAGCCGAAACCGGTTTGGCTCAGTGGATAGAGCCTGCAGACTGAAAGGTCCCGGGGTTCGATTCCGGTCAAGGGCATGTACCTTGGTTGCAGGCACATCCCCAGTAGGAGGTGTGCAGGAGGCAGCTGATCAATGATTCTCTCTCATTGATGTTTCTAACTCTCTCTTCCTCTCTGTAAAAAATCAATAAAATATATTCAAAAAATTTTTAAAAAAAGGGTTGATCAGAGGAAATAAGTTTTCTGACAACATGGGAATGACATCAGAAATCAGTAACAGGCCGAGACCGGTTTGGCTCAATGGATAGAGCATCCGTTTGAGGATTGAAGGGACCCGGGTGCGATTCCGGTCAAGGGCATGTACCTTGGTTGCAGGCATATCTCCGGTGGGGGGTGTGCAAGAGGCAGCTGATCGATGACTCTCTCTCATCGATGTTTCTAGCTCTCTATCTCTTCCCTTCCTCTCTGTACAAAATCAATAAAATATATTTAAAAAAAGAAAGAAAAAAAAAAGAAATCAGTAACAGAAGGAAACTCACACACGCGTAGAAATGAACACATTCCCGAACCACCAGTGGGTCAGAGAAGATATCCCGGATGGAATGAGAAAAGTAAATCGATCCAGACATTCAGGGTTTTGGGTGCACGGCGTGTCAGGAACAGGGGAACAGAACAGCCCAGCGGGCACCCTTGTCCCCACCACACACAGCTCCTCCGTCCTGCGCCCGCCCTCAGCCGCCGAGGCCGGGCCGCGGAGGGAGGACTCCCCAGTGTCTCCCTGCCCCCCCAGGAAGTTTGAGAACCTGTACATCGGCTGGGGCCACAAGTACAGCCCGGACAACTTCAACCCCATGCTGCCGCCGCCCGTCCAGCAGGAGTACCCCAGCGGCCTGGAGATCATGGAGATGAGCGACCCCACGGTGGAGGAGGAGCAGGCCCTGAAGGCCGCCCAGGAGCAGGCGCTGGCGGCCGCGGAGGAGGAGGAGGAGGACGAGGAGGAGGACGAGGACGAGGACCCGGACGACTGAGGCCCCGCAGGTAGATGTTCCTCGGACGTGGCGAGGAGCTGTTTTGTTTTCACTGTTCGCTTGCGCTCCGGCCGCTCCTTCATTCCTTTGCTCACCCACCTGTGGCCACGACCTTCCCGTCAGGGCGATTGGCTCTGCTGGGAGCACAGCTCCGCAGTCCCTCCCGTTCCCCTTGTTCACTCCTCCAGGCATGAAGCACCTCAGTTGGTTGGAGTGTTGTCCTGTAGGCCGCCGAGGGTTCCATTTCCGGTCAGGGCACATCTCTGGGTTGTAGGTTCGATCCCCGGAGGGGGCAGATATGGGAGGCAACCAGGGAGGCAACCGGCCGATGTTTCTCTTTCACATCCATGTTTCTCTCTCTCTCTCTCCTTCCCCCGCTCTAAAAATCAACGGAAATGTCCTTGGGTGAGGATTTAAAAAAATAAAAAATTAAAATTAAATCAAAAGCCTCCTGTCAGCTCAGTCCAGCCCAGAGGACACAGAGATGAGCAAGCAGCCTCTGCTTTTCCGTGGCTCAGACTCTACAGGGGGGACAGGAGCACACCCAAGCAATGACACCCCAGGTGGTGTTGCCCAGGCGACTGACAGAGCCCCTCCTGTCAGAGCTGCTGACGCTCAAAGGGTCAGGAGCAGCCGAAACCGGTTTGGCTCAGCGGTAGAGCGTCAGTCTGCGGACTGAAGGATCCTGGGTTCGATTCCGGTCAAAGGCATGTACCTTGGTTGCGGGCACATCCCCAGTAGGGGGTGTGCAAGAAGCAGCTGGTCGATGTTTCTCTCTCATCGACGTTTCTAGCTCTCTATCTCTCTCTCTTCCTCTCTGTAAAAAATAAAATACATTTTTAATTTAATTTAATTTTATTTTATTTTATTAAATATATTTTATTGATTTTCTTACAGAGAGGAAGGGAGAGAGATAGAGAGCTAGAAACATCAATGAGAGAGAAACATCGACCAGCTGCCTCTTGCACACCCCCTACCGGGGATGTGCCCGCAACCAATGTACATGCCCTTGGCCAGAATCGAACCTGGGACCCCTCAGTCCGCAGACCGACGCTCTACTGCTGAGCCAAACCGGTTTCGGCTAAAATATATATATATTTTTAAAAAGGGTCAGGAGCAGCGCTGGCTGGGTAGCTCTGTTTGCTTAGGGCAGTGGTCAGCAAACTGCAGCTCTCGAGCCACATGCGGCTCTTTGGCCCCTTGAGTGTGGCTCTTCCACAAAACACCACGTGCGGGCACGCACCTACAGTGCGACTGAAACCTCGTGGCCCATGCGCAGAAGTCGGTCTTCTGCTCTCAAAAGAAGTTTCAGTCGTCGTACTGTTGATATTTGGCTCTGTGGACTAATGAGTTTGCCGACCACTGGCTTAGTTTGCTACGTTTGCAGGTTTGGTCCCTGGTCAGGGCACCTACAAGGATCAGCCCATGAATGAATAAGTAAAACAACACATCGATCTCTCTCTCCCTTCCTCCTTCTCAACTTAAAAAAAAAAGGGTGCAGGACAGAGTGGGGAAGAGCATTCCGGGCAGAGGAACAGCATGTGAGGAGGTCCGAGGGTGAGAGAGCGTGTGACGTGTTGAGGTAGCTTCTCTATCTCATTTTTTGGGACACGGCGTGAGGAGTCAGCGATGAGAGCGGGGACAGGAACGCAGTTGGCAGGAACAGATCACTCAGGGCTTAACTCGCCCTGAGAGCACTAGGGAGCCACAGAGGGGCTTTCAGCAGGGGAGGCCTGGTCATGTTTGTGCTTCAGACATGCCTCTGCAGGTGCCCCGGAGAGGGCGGACAGGGGAGTGAGACAGGAGTGTGGGAGAGCAGGAATAAGGCTGGTTCAGGGCCCGGAGCAGGTTGGACCATGGCTGTGCATAGGAAGGGGCTGGAAAAGAGGATTTTTAGGGACAGGAGGGGGGACAGACACTCAGGTCTGGGGGGTGATAGTGCTGGCCCTAAGAATAGGTCACAGGCCAAAACCGGTTTGGCTCAGTGGATAGAGCGTTGGCCTGCGGACTTAAAGGTCCCAGGTTCGATTCCGGTCAAGGGCATGTGCTTTGGTTGCGGGTGCATCCCCAGTAAGGGGTGTGCAGGAGGCAGCTAATCTATCTCTCTCTCTGATTGATGTTTCGGCTCTCTATCTCTCTCCCTTCCTCTCTGTAAAAAATCAATAAAATAAGAAACTAGAAACACCAATCAGAAAGGATATATGTACCCCTATGTTCATAGCAGCACAATCTACAATAGCTAGGATTCGGAAACAGCCTGGGTGCCCGTCAGCAGATGATTGGATCCAAAAACTATGGTACATCTACACAATGGAATACTATGCTGCCTTAAAAAAGAAGGAATTCTCATCATTTGCAGCAACCTGGAGAGAATTGGAGAACATCATGCTAAGTGAAACAAGCCAGTCAATGAAAGAGAAACACCGTATGACCTCACTCATTTATGGATATTAAAGAACATTATAAACAGATGAACCAAAAGATAGATATAGAGACAGTAAAGCAACAAGCAATTTACAGTGGGGAGGGTAGTGAGATCTGGGGGAGATAAGAGATCAACTGAAGGACTTGTATACATGCATATAAGAACAACCAATGGACACAAAACTCTGGGGAGGGAGGGTAAGTGTGGGAGGGGGGGCAATGTTAAAATATGTACACAGATAATTTAATAAAAATAAAATAAAATAAAATAAATCAATAAAATATATTTTAAAAAAAAGAATGGGTCACAGGAGAGGAGCAGGACTTGGAGTAAGACGCCAAGTTAGCTCACTGTAGGGCTTGTTGAGCGTGAGGAAGACGCCTGGGGACATTTGGTGACTAGTCTGGGAGGCCACTGAGTAAGTGGGTCTCAGATTCTCTGTGATGGGGCAGAGTGGCTTCCGCAGAAGTCAGGGGCACTGTGGGGACGGCTGGGACCAGGAGGAGATCCGGAGTTATGGCGGATCATTGGAACACTGTGAGGGTGAGGGGGTTACAGGCGCAGTGAAATACTAGAATGGAAGGTGGGTGTTGGAGGACCGAGTGAGACTGATTGCGAAAGCGAGTCCGGAGGTTGGTGGGAGGTGTGGAGAGGTTTGGGTTGGTATTAGCCAGCAGTGGGCCAGATGAAGTCCTAGGCGTTTTATGGAGACCTGAGATCAGTGAGATTTGGGGGCTCATCCGCGGTGCGGAGGAATGGCTGGCCAAGCTGCGGCCAGTGGGAGATTGGATGTCCGTGGGAACACTGGGAGTCAGGAGGGTGGATGTTGAGGGTCCCTGGGGTCACAGGGAGGTCAGGGGAGGAAACAGGCCTTCTCCGGAGCGGTCCTCCGTTGCTAGGCGAACGGTTCCCAGGGCGCCGTTGCTAGGGGACAGGTTCTTGTTAAGCGCCACGCCCCTTCCCGGCGGCCCCGCCCCCGCAGCCAACCACAGGGCCGTCTCCGGCACCGAGGCCCCGCCCAGAGACGGAGAACCGTTACCAGAGCGACGGCCGGGCTCGTTCCCCCCCGTTGCCAATCAAGGAGGCGTCGCCCGGGCGACGACCCCACCTCTTCCGGCGCGGGCCCGCGGCTTCCGGCGGGGGGCCCGGCGGCGGGCTGCGGTCGCGCAGCGGCGGGGCCCGGGGGGCGCCCAAGATGGCGGCGGGCGGCGCGGAGGGCGGCTCGGGCCCGGGCGCCTCCATGGGGGACTGCGCGGAGATCAAGTCGCAGTTCCGCACCCGCGAGGGCTTCTACAAGCTGCTGCCCGGAGACGGCGCCGCTCGCAGGTCGGGTCCGGCCTCCGCCCAGACCCCGGCGCCGCCCCAGCCGCCGCAGCCCCCGCCGGGCCCTGCCTCCGCCTCCGGCCCCGGCGCCGCGGGCCCCGCGTCGTCCCCGCCGCCCGCAGGCTCCGGGCCCGGGCCCGCGCTGCCCGCCGTGCGCCTCAGCCTGGTGCGCCTCGGAGAGCCGGACCACGCCGGGACCGGGGAGCCGCCCGCCACGCCCGCGGGCCTGGGGGCCGGAGGAGACCGCGTCTGCTTCAACCTGGGCCGCGAGCTCTATTTCTACCCGGGCTGCTGCCGCCGCGGGAGCCAACGGGTGAGCGGCCCGGGGGCTGAGAAGCCGGGGTCCCTTGGTGACCCCAGAAGGGGTAGGGGTTCCCCGAGATAGGCATCCAGATGTGATGGACATCCCTGGGGGGAAGGGTTCGGTGGGGGCGGGGCGAGGGGTGATGCATCATCGTGAAAGGTGATGGAGGCCTCCCGGTGCCGGGCATCCTGGAGGTGATGGGAAGCCTTGGGGTCATGTGGGATCCCCCGTTATGGGGGGGAAGGGGGTGGCGGAGGTTCTGGGATGGTGAGTATTTTGGAGGTGATGCAGAATCCGAGATGATGTAGGTCCTCGGGGTTCTGGTGGCAGGCATTCTGCGGGTGACGGGGATCCTGAGGTGATGCAGAACCCAGGGGGATTGCAGTCTGTGGCGGTGTTAGGAGGGGGTCCCCAGACCTGGGCAGCCAGAGGTCAGGACTCTGGAAGTGACGGGGGCTTAGAGATGGTAGGGATCGCAGAGAAAATTCCGGTTCCGGAGTTAATGAGGGTTCCCGGAGGAAATGAGAGTCCCTGAGCTGAGGGGAGATGGGAGGTGATGAGAGCCCAGGGGGGGCACCCTCAGGTGTGTGGGGTGTCTCCGCGGTGACCCAGGTGCCAGAGGGATGAGACCCCTGGAGTTGACGGTGGTCCCCAGAAGTGATGGGGATCCTGCGAGTCCAGAGGGTGTGAAGGCATCCTGGGGTTTAATGGTCCCTGAACTGATTTAGGGACTCCAAAGGGAAGGCACTCCTGAGATGAGCTCTAGAGGCCTGGGCATTTGGGTGACCCTGAGTTTGGGGGTGGGGATGAGGGGAGGAGCCAGGGTTGGAATATTGTGTTGCTAAGACCCGGGGGAGATGGCTGAGGCTAGGAGGTAAGACTGGGAAGGAATCAGAGCTCAGGGACTATGGGGACCCCGAACCCTGATGCTGTGAGTCAGGGTGTCCCTGAAGTTGGAGGGAGAGGCACTGTGGTCTTATGCCCTGGGTAAGGGGGGGGGGGGGGCTTCCTGTCTTTTTTTTCTCTGATCTGTGTGAAATTTGGGTCCCTCTTCCTGTCTGTGGTTGCTCCCTCCCTCCTCACTCACCCATCTACCTACCCACTTCCCTCGGGGGGTTAACCTTGCTTCCTCTTCGCGGTTTTCCCCAACCTCAACACCCGCTTCCTTCCTCGGTGGCAGAAGCCATTAACTCCTTTTCTCCCGTCGCTTAAGTCCATCGACCTCAACAAGCCAATCGACAAGCGGATCTATAAGGGCACCCAGCCCACCTGCCATGACTTCAACCAGTTCACCGCTGCCACAGAGACCATCTCCCTGCTGGTGGGCTTCTCCGCCGGCCAGGTGCAGTACCTGGACCTCATCAAGAAGGACACCAGCAAGCTGTTCAACGAAGAGGTGATTGTGGGCCCCACGTGGCCCCTTCCCTTCTCGCCCACCCAACTGCACGCGTGCCGTTTGCCGTTACACTGGGACAGGATGAGGGAGGAAAAGGGGGCGGGCTGACAGCTGTGTGGGATGGGTGACAGCAGCCGGCGTGCCAGCCGGCAGTGACACCAGTGCCCACTGTGCCCAGGCCCCGTGCTTTGTTAGCCGCATGCTGAATCATGACTCCTGGCGTTTTCATCAACCAAAGGGTTAGGTATTGAGGGGCTATTTTGCAGATGAGAGAACTGATTGGACCGGTTTGAAGTCAGAGCCGGGGGGGTCCTCACATTCTGGGCATAGGATTCAAATCCTGGCGGTCCCACATTTCCTCGCCGCACCTCCGTTCTCCTGCTCTGCAAACAGGGTTTTCACCCCTGCCCCGCAGGACTGTTGTAAAACCATGCACGGAGATGGCTTCGTCCTGGGCAGGCCTGGCACAAGAGGAAATGCCAGCGGGCAGCCTTATCTGTGGGACTCGGGCCCTGTGTCTGTTCGGGAGCGTGTTCCTTCCACACAGAATCGCATGAATGGCGGGAGGGAGAGTGGAGCAGCGGATGGAATAAATGCGCTAGCTCACCAGTTCACAGGACACTTCCTGAGCTTTTGTTCAAGGCCAGGCTTGTTCTCAGCACCGGGGCGGCTCATCCCCGGGACCCAGAGGGCCGGGCTTCGGAGCTCTCACCCCGCTAGGCAGGCAGTGGCCCCCAGGGGGAGTCTGCGGGCACCTGGTGCCCAGTGCGGAGGGGGAAGTCAGGGAGGGGGCGTGGCGGGTCTGGGGAGGTGGGGTGGGTCAGGAAGGGCCTCCCTGGAGGGTGACATTGAAATAAAGACGTGACGAGGCCAGAAGAGTGACCGGGGAAGGACTTCCTGAGTAGAGGGGCGGCGGGGACAGAAGCCGGCAGCAGGACTGGTCAGCGCAGCCGCTGAGGCGGGGACGTAGGTGAGCCCCGGAAGTCAGTTGAGGGCCCGGCTGGGCAGGGGCTGGAAGGCTGGGAAGGCGGCTTTTAGAGCCTCTCCTCGGGGGTTCCACTGAGCCACGAAACAAATGTTTTGATCTGAAGATTTTCTCAATTCTCCCAAGAATGAGAAGCAACTTAGATCTGAGGAAAGAAGTTAATTCCTTTCGTTCGGCGGGTGCCCAAGGCGTTAGGGCTGAGCTCCCGGAAGCCCTGGCTGAGAAAGGTGCCCAGGGCTCCGAGTGGGGGCGCAGGCGCTGACTCACTCTAACAGCAGCTCTCCGGCCTCGGTGAGGGGACGGACATGGACAGTGTGGCCTAGAGACCAGTGAGGCCACACGGGGTTGATGGTGGCCGGGACCAGAGTGTGTGGGGTTCAGGGTGAGCAGAGGTCAGGTTCTGCGTGTTACTGAAGAACTTGGTGTGAGTTATATGGAGTTATATGTGAGTTATGCGGAGAACAGGAGCAAAGATGAGCTGCAGGCGGCATGGGGTTGACATTCACGTGTCCAGGAAACACTTGTCAGGCCGCTCCTGTGCTGGGGCCGGAACAGTGAGCGAACGGCTCCTTAGGGGAGCTGACAGCCTGTGGACCAGTTTATGGCCTTGAGCCCGACATGGAAAGGAGGGGGCATTAGACAGAAGACAGTTCCCTGAAGGCAGGACTGTCCCCTTACCTAAAGGGACATCGAGGCTCCATGGAGCTCTGGCTGCATCAAAGCCGCCCTTCCGTGTCCATGACCGCCCTGTCCCTAGAGGGGGCTCCTCTCCCAGGGGCCTGGGCCGAGTCGGAGGGCCTGCTGGGATGCAGGCTGGGAAGGAGGTCTGTCTGCGTCTGATTGCCTTCTCCCAACCCCATCCTCTCTCCTGGCAGCGGCTGATCGACAAGACCAAGGTGACATACCTGAAGTGGCTGCCGGAGTCGGAGAGCCTGTTTCTGGCATCGCACGCCAGCGGCCACCTGTACCTGTACAACGTCAGCCACCCGTGCGCGTCGGCCCCGCCCCAGTACAGCCTGCTGAAGCAGGGGGAGGGCTTCGCCGTCTACGCCGCCAAGAGCAAGGCGCCCCGCAACCCGCTGGCCAAGTGGGCGGTGGGCGAGGGGCCCCTCAACGAGTTCGCCTTCTCGCCCGACGGCCGGCACCTGGCCTGCGTCAGCCAGGACGGCTGCCTGCGCGTCTTCCACTTTGACTCCATGCTCCTGCGGGGGCTCATGAAGAGCTACTTTGGGGGCCTGCTCTGCGTGTGCTGGAGCCCCGACGGGCGCTACGTGGTGACGGGCGGGGAGGACGACCTGGTCACCGTGTGGTCCTTCGCCGAGGGCCGCGTGGTGGCCCGCGGCCACGGCCACAAGTCTTGGGTCAACGCCGTGGCCTTCGACCCCTACACCACAAGGGCCGAGGAGGCGGCGGCGGCCAGCGGGGACGCGGAGCGCAGTGTGGAGGAGGAGGAGGAGCCCGAGGTGGCCGGCCCAGGCTCGAATGGGGGAGACCCGCTCTCCCCGATGCCCAAGGCCGGCTCCATCACTTACCGCTTCGGCTCGGCCGGCCAGGACACGCAGTTTTGCCTGTGGGACCTCACCGAGGACGTGCTTTACCCACACCCGCCCCTGGCCCGCACCCGCACGCTCCCCGGCACGCCTAGCACCACCCCGCCCGCTGCCAGCAGCTCCCGGGGTGGCGAGCCCGGCCCCGGGTCCCTGCCCCGCTCGCTGTCCCGCTCCAACAGCCTCCCGCACCCAGCGGGCAGCGGCAAGGCGGGCGCGGGCGCGGGGACGGAGCCGGGCACCCCGTTCAGCATCGGCCGCTTCGCCACGCTCACGCTGCAGGAGCGGCGGGACCGGGGGGCGGAGAAGGAGCACAAGCGCTACCACAGCCTGGGCAACATCAGCCGGGGGGGCGGCGGGGGCGGCAGCGGCGGGGACAAGCCCAGCGGCCCTGTCCCCCACAGCCGCCTGGACCCAGCCAAGGTGCTGGGCACGGCGTTGTGCCCGCGCATCCACGAGGTGCCCCTGCTCGAGCCGCTGGTGTGCAAGAAGATCGCCCAGGAGCGGCTGACGGTGCTCCTGTTCCTGGAGGACTGCATCATCACCGCCTGCCAGGAGGGCCTCATCTGCACCTGGGCGCGGCCGGGCAAGGCGGTGAGTCGGCCGCCCCGGCCACCGGGGCCTGGGGCTCGGGAGGAGGCGGGTTTGGGAGAGCAGTTTGTCACGATCACGGCCTCTAGCCCGTAGGGTGAGGGGCCACCATGGCCATCTTAGTGCCTCAGCAGGCCCTGCCACATCTGACGATAGTTCTAGAAGAGAGGGGTGCGGGAGGGACCCTGGCCAGTTACCAGCAGGGCAGCCACTGGGCCCAGCACAGCCAGGTCTTACCACTGGCTCCTTGAAGCCAGGTCAGTATTTCTGTGGAAATGTGACTTTTAAGTGATGAGATGTTGGACACTGTGGGTCACGTTCTGTGGGCAAGACCGAGCCCTGGGCCCGCCCTCCAGCCTGGCTCTGGGCTGTCGGGGTAGGAGCCGGTGCTGGAGGCACAGACAGAATACCAGGCTCAGGCCCAGTTCTGCACCTTTCCTGTGTGACTGTGGCCACGACCTGCCCCGCACGCAGGACAGGGAGGCTTGGAGGCGGCCAGTGCGCCTCCCGGGGTCCGAGGGGCTCGGGTGGAGCACAGGCCGGCGCCTGAGCCGTGGAGCCGGGGACTCCGATGTCTGGCTCCTTGGGTCTGGCTTGGCGCCCAGCTGTCACAGCTGAGGGCCGTGGCGCGGCTCCTGGGAAGGGAACTTGTGTCCCTAGAGCCTAGAGCGCAGTCTCAGCCTCACAGGTGAGGGGAAGGGTCTGGGGAGTCTGAGTCCTGAAGGAGGCCCGTCTGTCTCCCTAGTTCACTGACGAGACCGAGGCCCAGGCAGGGGAAGGAAGCTGGCCCAGGTCACCCAGCGAGTCAGTGGTAGAGGTAGGCCTGTCCCCGAGTTCCCTCCCCCAGAACCTCAGGCCCCCCCCTCAGAGGGACCCCAGCTCTCCCCTCTTCCCACCTCCACCCGAACCCCTTCCTCTGCTCAGGATTACGGCACCCGAGGACTTGAATTACTGCCTGAAAGTGCTGCCTGTTGGGCCGGGGAAGCTAGTGGAGATGGAGTTCCAGAAGCCAGAGCAGCCTCCTGGGGTGGGGGAGTCGGTGGGCTGAAGGGACAGCCTGGGTGGTGGGGCCTCGGGTGCTCTCTAACCCCCGCTGTCTCCCTCCTCTTCCCAGGGCATCTCCTCCCAGCCAGGCAGCTCCCCGAGCGGCACCGTGGTGTGAGCCTGGGCGCCGGCTCCCTGCCCCGCCTCGCCTCCCGCCATCACCCTCACGGACCAACCTATTAACAAGACTAACTGACGGATGGGCTGCTCCGGCCCCCCACCCTGCACAAATTTGGGGGGCAGAGAGTCCCCCCAGACCGGCCTAGACCCTGGGGGACGTAGTGGCTCATGTGACCTCAGCCTTGTCCCCACCCACTGCCAAGTACACCGACCCCTTCCGCTGGAACGTCAGTGTTAGCCTCCTGCCTGCCCCCAGCATGTGACTGGTCATGGGCGGGGGGGGGGGAGGGGGGAGCCCCCGCCCGCCAGACCCCAGCTCCGCAGTGTGCCCTCAGTCCGCGGGCAGGGCAGGCGGCCTGCCCCTCCCGACCCAACCCATCCCCCGCTGGTGTTCGTGCTTTTGAAAAGTGTTAAGTTATGGAAGCCCTTTGGGGTCCTTCCTGTCCCCGGCACCTCTTATTTATACTAAAGCTCCCTGTTTTCATGGCGTCTCTGGTCCCTTCCTTGGAGGTGTGGCGGGTGTGTGTGTGCTTTCACTGTGTGCTACAGCAGTCTTTTTTTTTTTTAAGATAAAGTTTATTTAGAAAGGTACAGAGCCCTGGCCGGGGGCTGGGCTGTGGGCATTCCCAGCGCACTGAGACTGCTGGTCTGACCCGGTCAGCAGGGGCAGGGGAGAGGGGGTCCATCAGTGTCTTCCTCCCTCTCAACTTGTCCTCCAGGGAAGATTAGAAAAGTAAAAAAGAGAAGAGCCGAAACTGGTTTGGCTCAGTGGATAGAGCGTCAGCCCGCGGACTGAAAGGTCCGGTCCCGGGTTCGATTCCGGTCAAGGGCATGTACCTTGGTTGTGGGCACATCCCCAGTGGGAGTTGCAAGAGGCAGCTGATAGATGTTTCTCGTCGATGTTTCTAGCTCTCTTCCTCTCTGTAAAAAATCAGTAAAATATATTAAAAAAAAGGAAAGTGGGACTGAGCCAGCTGGCTGCCTGGCGCAGGAAACATTACCAAGGCCAGAGGAGGGCCTCGGAGCTTGGGGCAGCACGCTTGGAGAGAAGGTCGGAGGGGGTGTCCCTGGGGGAGCATGCGCCTGTCAGTCCACTTTAATGGGGGGGGGGGGGCAGCCAGACCTGCCACCTCCTGCCCCCTTTTACTGGGGAAGCCAGGTGGGAGAAGGGATGTGCTCGGGGCCCATTGGGTGAGGAGAGGACCCCTAAACCCTCTTCAGTCCTCAGCAGGAGTCGGCAGCCATGCTCAAAAATGTCCAAACTAACTCCATGTTATAGGGTCTTCCCAAATGGGCTCCCAGGCAACCCGCAGGCCAGAGGGAGCGCCCTTGAGCTCGGGTCTCGGCCTCCGCTGCCCTGGACCAGCCTTCTCCGGAGGGTGCGGGTGCGGAGGGTGCGGGCTGCCGGGAAAGGACAGCGAAATCCCTCCTGGCGGCTCTCCGCCCGCCCGCCACCCCCATGTTTGTTTCTAATCCTGGCCTGGGCAGGAATGTGGCCGCATGCCGGGGCCCAAGGAGCTATTTTGGGGGCTCCTCTGCCTTCCCCAGCTTTGGCCGGTGTCACCCCTGGTCTTGGCTCCTGAGGGCCTCCCTTCCCAATTCTCTCACCACCCCTTCCCCACCTCCTGCCAAAAAAAAAAAAAAAAAAAGTGTAAGGCAGAAGGCCTGCAGGCTAAATTTAAACTGTCCCAAAGTCTGGATCCCAGCTGAGTCACCCACAAAGCTGTCCTGGCCTCCTGCCCCCCTTCCGAGGCCTCACCCCTCTCTCCTCCCCCGGCTCCAGGGCTCGGGAGGAGTGGGAGGGCTCATCTCCGGCCTGTCCCACTTGCTGTCTTGGCTTCCCCTGTACCCCGCCTTTTATTGGGGGGAGGAGGGTTGTTGAATGGTTGAGATTCTCTGCCCCCCAGTCTCACACTGGAGTGTACTGGGGGGGGGGGGAGCCTGGCCTGTGAGGGGTTAAGGCTGGTAGGCGGGAGGGGGCCGGCCAAGGGGAGGGGAGAAGGGGCGGAGGCCTCTGCATCCTGCAGAGAGAAGTGGCCAGAGGCCCAGGGGACAGCCAGGGACAGGCGGACATGCAGCCAGGGCCCTGGGACCTGACCAGGGGCTGCCAGGCCCCGTGACGAGAGGACCCCAGGCCCGGGGAGGGGGCCATGGTGCTGCCTGCCCGGCATGTCAGCCGAGGTGCGGCTGAGGCGGCTCCAGCAGCTGGTGCTGGACCCCGGCTTCCTGGGGCTGGAGCCCCTGCTCGACCTTCTCCTGGGCGTCCACCAGGAGCTGGGGGCCTCCGACCTCGCCCAGGACAAGTATGTGGCCGACTTCCTGCAGTGGGGTGAGTGCCGCCTGCACGCCCCTGCCCCATTGGAGGTGGGGGCAGGGCAGAGGCAGGGAATGGCGTTGGGCACCGGTGGCTCTTGGAGGACAGGGCAACCATGGGGAGAGCTCCCTGGGTCTTGGGGGTGACATGCCCCTACCCCCGTGCCACTCTTGCCGGGCAGAGCGGGGTCAGCAGAGACCAGGGCAGCCAGGACTCGGAGCCAGGACATGGGAACCATGGTAGACTGGGCTGGGAAGAGCCTCCCATGGCCCCTGCGCCTCTTTCCCCACGTCCAGGCCTAGCGACATGCAGGGAGTCCTGTCTCTTAGGTGCCCATACACCCCAAAATGGTCCCTATGGCCTCCACCCGGCTCCCGGAGCGCAGTAACCAGCACAGACACAGACGGGGCAGCTGCCAGGGGCGCAGCCCGCCGGCAGGTGTTAGGCGCCAGCCTCTCCAGCTGCCCCAACAGGTGCCCAGGCCCTGACAGGCCCAGTGACTCAGGCAGGCCCCAGGGGACAACCAGCTCTGGAGACAGGAGCCATCCAGGCCCCTGTCTGCCCCCAGAGGAGGAACCCCATCCAGTTCGGTCCCTTTATGTCTGCAGCCTTGACCCCAGCTCACAGACCCGCTACTTCTCCTTCGTGACCTCCGTCCTCCGCGGCTCCCACAAAGCCCCTTCCTGCCACGTCTTCCCCAGAAATAGGTCCCGGCCTCCAGAGGGAAGATGCATGAACCCCCGCCTCCTGCCTCGTCCGTCCCCACCCTCTCCTGGCCCAGGACTCAGGCTCACTGGGGCTTCTGTCTCTGTGACCGTCTGCCACTCTGTCCCTCTGCTGGGCTGTCCCTTCCTTGCTCTTGGTCCTTAGGCTCTGTCTGTCCCTCAGTTTCCCCTTTCCGCCTTCTCCTGCCCCTTCTTTCTTGTGTCTGTCTCTTCAGAACCCAGGCCCTGCTCCCCTCCTTCTGCCTCCCAGTTTGCAGATGGGAAGGTGGAGGTGGGCCACTCAGCCTCTGGAAGAACTTTACACCCTCTTCCCCCCCAGCCCCTGGCAGCTCTCTTAGACTTTTTTGCAGAGGATGAACGTTGGACCCGCAGGGTAAACTGAGGCCTGTGGTGGGGGCAGGGGTCTGGCTCTCCTGGGAGGAGCGCTCCTTTTGTGGCCCGAGCAGCATCCTGGGCCCCTCCCCTGCGGGCTGGGGCGGGGGAGGGGGCCTGGGTTCCCACTGCCTTAAAAGGGCTCAATGTCTTGGCTCTCTCCTCCCGCCCCAATCCTGGGCCCTCGCTGCTGCTTCCCTGCTGGCCCACACTCCCCGAACCCCATCCGGACTCCCAGCTCCCCTCCATCACCATGTATCTCCCCTCATTCCTGCTCACCCCCAGCCCTGCTCCACCCTACCCCGAGGTCTCCAGTGGCTTCCACCCCTGGGGGTCTAGACCTCCCTCTCCCAAGCCCCTGCATCTCTGCCTCTCTCCCCCCTTCCCCCCCATCCCCAAACTGCCAGGGTTAGCACTCCTAGCTATAGGACCTTGGGCAAATGAGTCCACCTGTCTGAGCCTGAGTGTCCCCCCCATACACACACCTGTAAGTAAGGGAGTCCAGAGCGCTGCTCCTGGGTTGCAAGGACTGAACACGTCTGACCTGGGCCCGGAGCCATGGATGCAGGTCCACGATGGCCCTGTCCCCTCTTCAGTTCCTTCTCCCGGCCCCACCCCCAAATCAGTGTTTCCCTCAGGGTGGTCCAAGAGCCACCTGCCTCTGTGCCTGGAGGGGCTGGGTAAAGCTGCATGTCCTGACCCTTTTCCCATCACCCCAATTGGGGGTGGGGGCCTGAAGCCCAAGGGAGCTAGAACTGGGCCTGTCCTCCCTCTGTTCTGGGGCTCCTTTCTGCAGACTTGTGTCCCCCGTCGCCCTCCCCTGCTCCACAAGAGCCCTCTGGCCCCACGCCTTGTCCCAAAAAGGGGTTCCCAGGCACCCCACTTCTGCAGGAGGGCAGTTTGCACCCCCCAAACCTCACCGTGTTCACGCGGGAAACTTTGGGAGGCGAACAGTCATGAAGGGAAAAGGGCAGAGAGAAGGGGAGGCGGAGGAACAGCGTGGGGACCTCCTCCTCGTCTCCACTGTCAGTCCCGGTGACCCCGGTTCTCACCGCCCCGCCCCCAGTGGAGCCCATCGCGGCGAGGCTTAAGGAGGCCCGGCTGCAGCGGGAGGACTTCGAGATCCTGAAGGTGATCGGACGCGGGGCGTTCAGCGAGGTGAGCCCCGCCGCTGCCCGCGGAGCCCGGACCTTCCCCGCCCGCCGGGGGCGGCCCCGGGGCTGGGGGCCGGACCTGAGGAATTGATGAATGAGTTCCGAGCCTAAAACCGGCGAGGGCGGGGCTTACGGGCGATGGGCGTGGCGTGGGCGGGGCTTCGGGGGAGTCCTGTCTGGGCTTTGGGGGGTTCCCCACCTCCGCCACCCCAGCCAGCCCGCTCCGGCCCCCAGGTGGCGGTGGTGAAGATGAAGCAGACGGGCCAGGTGTACGCCATGAAGATCATGAACAAGTGGGACATGCTGAAGAGAGGCGAGGTGAGGCCGTGCGGGCTGCGCGGGGCCCCGGGGTCCCCCCTCCCGGCTCACCCCACCCGCTTCAGCCGCCGCTGCCCGCAGGTGTCGTGCTTCCGCGAGGAGAGGGACGTGCTGGTGAACGGGGACCGGCGCTGGATCACGCAGCTGCACTTCGCCTTCCAGGACGAGAACTACCTGGTGAGGCCCGACCCGGCCCGGCCCGGCCCGGCCCGGCGACCAGGGGGTCGAACCTCCACCCCAAGGCTGTGGACCAAGGAGGCGGGGCGGGGAGAGGTTCTCGGGTGGGGAGTGTTCCTTCCTGTCCGTCCCCAGGGCTGATCTGGGGCTCCAGAGAGCTGCCGCCTTTGGGGGACCTGACCTGGGATGGGAGGGCTCGGCAGGGTCTGTGTGGGGTGAATACACTCTGAGCGTCAGGAGGCCCCTGGGGGAGTGAATCGCGGCCCAGAGACATCTGGAAGGATGTGGGGGGGTTGGAGGGGAGGAGGGTCTTTGACTTGGCCTGGAAGACCTCTGGGGCTGCTGCTGCCCAGGAATGTGTGTCTGGGAGTCTGTGCAGGGCTGTCAGCCAGGTCACCTGGGGCTTACTGGCCCCCGGGACACGCCCCCCCCCCCCCCAGTACCTGGTGATGGAGTACTACGTGGGCGGGGACCTGCTGACGCTGCTGAGCAAGTTCGGGGAGCGGATCCCGGCCGAGATGGCGCGCTTCTACCTGGCGGAGATCGTCATGGCCATAGACTCGGTGCACCGGCTGGGCTACGTGCACAGGTGGGCGCCTCGGGAGCTGAGGGGGGGGCCTGGGCCAATGGTGGAGCCCAGCGGGGCAGCGCCTGGAGAGGGGCCTGGAGACAGACAGCCTGAGGGCGAGGCCTGGAGGCCTGGGAGGTGGGGGTCTAGTCCCCAAGAGAATGGGGCCTGAGCCTGTGAGGTGGCGGGAGGGAGGCTCACCTACCCCCTCCGCTCCCAACTTCCCGCCGGGCAGGGACATCAAACCCGACAACATCCTGCTGGACCGCTGCGGCCACATCCGCTTGGCCGACTTCGGTTCCTGCCTCAAGCTGCGGGCGGACGGAATGGTGAGCGGTGCGCCCGCCGGTGCCACCCAGGAGCGGTGGGGCCCGGGCGAGTGCGGGGCGGAGGCTGACGCCGGCTGGCAGAGCCCGGAGAGAGGCCGGCCTGGAGTGGGCGGGGCCACGGGGCGGAGCCACTCAGGCTGGGCGGGCTCAGTCAGGACGGGCAAAGGGCGTGGCCAACCACGGGGCGTGACCAGAGCTCGGGGGCGTGGCCAAGCGCTGGGCGTGGTCAGGAGGCGGGGCCAGGGATCGGGGGGTGGGGCTGAGCCCAACTCCGACTCTGTTGACCCAGGTTCGGTCGCTGGTGGCTGTGGGCACCCCCGACTACTTGTCCCCCGAGATCTTGCAGGCCGTGGGCGGCGGGCCGGGCTCGGGCAGCTACGGGCCCGAGTGTGACTGGTGGGCACTGGGCGTGTTCGCCTACGAGATGTTCTACGGGCAGACGCCCTTCTACGCCGACTCCACGGCGGAGACCTACGGCAAGATCGTGCACTACAAGGTGAGCGGAGCCCCGGGGCCCTGACCCCACCCCAACCCCCCGCACCTGCTCCCAGGCTGACGCCCCGCTCTCCTCCCCTCTGGGCAGGAGCACCTTTCTCTGCCGCTGGCCGATGCAGGGGTCCCCGAGGAGGCCCGCGACCTCATCCAGCGCCTGCTGTGTCCGCCGGAGACGCGGCTGGGCCGGAACGGAGCGGGCGATTTCCGGAAGCATCCTTTCTTCTTTGGCCTCGATTGGGATGGCCTCCGAGACAGCGTGCCCCCGTTTACCCCGGACTTTGAGGGTGCCACCGACACGTGCAACTTCGATGTGGTGGAAGACGGGCTCACTGCCATGGTGAGCGGGGGCGGGGTAGGTACCTGCGAGCCCTGCTCCCCTCACCCCTTCCCCATAAAGCTCGGGCGACCACAGTGCCCACCTCCTGGGGTCCTGACATCATTTCTTCTCCTGAATAACTGCTCCGTGCCTGTCCAGGGCTGGGAACCCAGCGGTTACCCGACTCACAGTCCAGCGTGGGGGACACACGAGTCCCCAAACAATGACACCCCGGAGAAATCAGGGCTGGGATGGAGGAGACCAGAGGTAGGGCACTCTCAGGGCCGAACCGGAAGAGGAGGTGGAAGGCAGGAAAGCACATAGGAAACTCTTCCTCCCGAGGCCGCCTCTCTCTCAACACTTACACTAGCTGTCCTGCTGCCCGGTGCTGGGCACTGCCCTGGTCCCGCAGCCACTTCCGGTTTGGAGAAGTATAAACTGATACTGTATTTATGGGCACCCTGAGGGAAACAGGACACGATCAATTACTTCACCACTTTACATGAGCCCTAAGGGTGGGTTTGGGGAAAATTTAAGTTATGGCGTAAGGGGTGAGGGGCCAGTCCAGACAACCGGTGGTCACCTCCTGCCTGGGTCTCTCGTGTTAGGAGACGCTGTCAGACATGCGTGAAGGCATGCCGCTGGGGATCCACCTGCCTTTCGTGGGCTACTCGTACTCCTGCATGGCCCTCAGGTAAGAGCCGCCCCTGTGCGGCCGGAGAGGGGCGGGCTGGGGTGCCGGCCTCCAGGCCCCAGGGGGCCGCTCAGGGTTCCGGCATCCGGCCCATCCGCGCCCAGTAGGATTGCAGGATCGGTCTTGGAACCTTACTGACTTGGGACCAAGGACTCAGGAACCCAGAGTTGTAGGGCCTTCAGCCTCAGATCACAGTGCTCTGAAATTTTAAGATTCAATTGTGAAACCTCAGAGCCACTTTGAGATTTCTAGTGCAGAGTCGTGAGACCTCAGAATCCTAGAAAGCAAAATGTTTAGAATTTTAAAATCAGTCTGAGGACAACACCAATTCAATGAGTCACTCACATGAAGCCTTTTAAAGCATTAATTCTAGCCCTTGCCAGGTAGCTCACTCAGTTGGTGAGCGTCACCCCAAAATACTTAGGTTGTAGGTTCAATCCCTGGTCAGGGCTCATACAAGAATCAACTGATGACAGCATAAATAAGTGGGACAACAAATCGATGTTTCTCTCTCTCTCTCCGCTCTAAAATCAATCAATTGATAAAAAATAAAATAAAACATGAACCCCACCAATAATACATTAGTAAATTATAATATGTGGATAAAAGGAAACCCATCATCAGTGATGATCCCTGGCTCATGTGTACACACACACTTTTTAAAAAAAAATATGTTTTATTGATTTTTTACAGAGAGAAAGAGAGAGAGGGATAGAGAGTTAGAAACATCAATGAGAGAGAGACATCAACCAGCTGCCTCCTGCATACCTCCTACCAGGGATGTGCCCGCAACCAATGTACTTGCCCTTGATCGGAATCGAACCTGGGACCCTTCCGTCTGCAGGCTGGCGCTCTACCCACTGAGCAGAACCAATTTCGGCAACACACACACACACACACACATTTTTAACAGCCCCGAGAACCTGCTGCATTCTAGCCTGTTTTGTTACCCGACAATGCATTACAAACACCATTTGTTATGAATGAACTACAACCTGATCCTGGCCCGCTGTGTACACTCTCCTTAGTGGGCAGGCCAGGCCTCAGCCAGCCTGTCCTCGGCCCTAAGCCAGGCTGCCTGCAGGCGCCGATGGTTAGGTAGAGACATAGTTCCATGAGGGGCTTGCTGGAGGGGGAACAACTCCTTTTACTGCCACTTGGAATTTGTAGGGAGCGTGTCCCCTCCAGTGGCTGGTATGGGGGATCTGCCTTTGGAGGTGGCCAGAGCCGGGCAATGTTCCACTCAGAGGTCCCCTCACTGTCCTGAGGCCCTGAAGAGAGGGATCTACAAAGGTCACATGGAGAGGGAGGAGAGGAGGGGCCCTAGAACAGGGGTGTTGTGCCCCGAGTTCCCACAGACGGTGTGGAGGGCAGCTCCCAGGGGCCGAGGCCATGCAAAGGGCAGGCTCTTTCCTTTCCAACAGGAAGACCTGTCATACCCTTCCCTCTGCCCGCCCTCCGCAAACCACGGGTCTGTGGATCTAGCTGCCCCATGACCAGAGGCTAGGGAGTCCTGGCTCTCTCCCCCTCCCCAGGGACGATGAGGTCCAGGGCCCCGTGCCCATGGAACTGGAGGCCGAGCCATTGCCTGAGCCGCCTGTGCAAGTGCCCAGCCTGGAGCCCTCGGCGCCCCCGCCGCAGGCGGAGGTGAGTTGCGGGAGGAAAGGCAGAGATTCCAGGGGGGTGCACAGCCCTCTGGGCTGACTCACAGGTGGAAAACATGTTCCTTCAGCCAGAGGCCAATCAGAGGGCGTTGAGTGTGTGTGCAGGGGACTCTCTGGGCGGGGGGAGCCCTGCAGGAGGGGGACACCCGTGGGAAGAGGAGTGCCCACTGGTTAGCAGAGAAGAGCTTCAGGGCAAAGGCCCTGAGGTGGGAACCAGCTGGCTTGTTCTTGATCCTGAAAGGAGGGTATTGAAGCTGAACCGTTCCCGCAGAAGCCAGAAGCGGGCTGAAGGCTGAGGGGAGGGAGGCTGCAGAGGCCAAACCAAACCAAACCAAACCGGGCCTTCTGGCGCAGCAGGCCTTCTCCTGCTGGCACGAGGAGCTGGAGAAGTTCTGAGCAAGCCTGCAACGTGGCCATGTTGTCAGTGTTTTAGGAACAACCCTTTGGTTCCTGTAAGGAGGTGGATGACAGGCTGGAGATCAGGGTGGGAGGTGGGTTAGGGAGGGAGGGTGCCTGGATCATTGCAGGAACTGTGGGGATTCCAGAAAGATCTAGGAGTGTAGAAGGCCAGAGAGGATCCCACGAATCTCTGCCCACGTCTCGAGTGCCCCAGGAGCCACAGGCAGCCCTAAGCCCAGTCCCTATGTGCAGGCTGAAGTGGCAGCTCCAGTGGCAATCTCAGCGGATGTGGCAGAGGCCGCGGTGACCTTGCAGGAGCTGCAGGAGGCCCTGGAGGAGGAGATGCTTACCCGGGAGAGCCTGAGCAGGGAGCTGGAGGCCATGCGCACGGCCAACCAGAACTTCGCCAGGTCGGGGCCAGGGCACAGGGGCCTGTCGCTACCTTTAGCAGCCTCTCCCGGGCACCCCAAAGGGCTCACGGTCCTTACCTCCCCTCAGTCAACTCCGCGAGGCTGATGCCAGGAACCGAGACCTGGAGGCGCACATCCAGCAGCTGCAAGAGCGGATGGAGGGGCTGCAGGCGCAGGGAGCAGCAGGTGAGTCCCTCCTTCGCCTCTTCCCCCCCCCCCGGGGGGCACCAGGGGAGGTGGGCTCTCGGTGTGTGTTGACACCTGGGGGAGGGAGAGTGGCCTAGGCTGAGGCACACCGCGCCACTGTCTCCTCAGTCACTGCACGCACCTACACCTCTCTCTTCTCCTTCCAGCTGTCACGGGGGTCCCCAGTCCCCGGGCCACGGATCCACCTTCCCATGTAAGACCCCTCTTTTTCCCCTGCGTCAAAGCCTGCTGCCCCCTCTGCAGACCCTGTCCCCCGTCTCCCCATCCAGATTTAGGGCTCACCTACTCCTTTGGGGTTCCAGGCAACAGAACCTTCCATTCAGCTCCATACCCACCAGCTCTCCCACGGTTCACCAAATCCCTCGATTCCCTTCCCGACCTCAGTTCCCTGTCTTCCCCCCCCCCCCCCACTGAGGTGGCCAGGGCTCCGATTGGGTCACCTGTCCCTTCTCTCTCCAGCTAGATGGCCCCCCGGCCGTGGCTCTGGGCCAGTGCCCGCTGGTGGGGCCAGGCCCCATGCACCGCCGCCACCTGCTGCTCCTTGCCAGGGTACGTCCGGCTGCTTACACCCACCCACCCACCCGCCGCCGCCGCCGCCTCCGCGTCCCGCGCCTCCTCAACGAGCCCCAAGCCGCCTGTGCTTAGCTGCACCTCTGTGGGCGGGGCTTCTTCCGGGGGAGGGTGCTTTGGGAGCCAATCAACACAGGCCGCCAGAAAAAGCAGCCAATGACAGCGGTCAGACAAGACTAGAGGCTTGCAAACTGAGCAACCACAGCTGCCCGGGGCGTTGGGGGTGGGAAGAAAGAGGAACCATCTATGAAGGGGGCGGGGCGAGCCCCAGCAACCAATCAGACGTCCGCTTCCACGGTGCTGATCCCGCCCTCTCCCCCCGCAGGACCCTAGGGCTGGCCTATCGGAGGCGCGTTCCCTGCTCCTGTTCGCCGCTGCTCTGGCTGGTACCGCCGCCCTGGGCTGCCCTGGGCTGGTGGCCAGCGCCGGCCATCCCGCCCGGATCTGGCGCCGCCCGGGAGCCGTCTTCGTCCCCTGAACTTTAGAGCCCCGGCCTGTCCTCCACTCGGGCCCCGCTGGAGGGTTGGGTGACGCGGGCTCGGCCCAGAAGCCACTTCCATCGCCTCCCGGCTCACCCCACTCCAAGTGCGGGTCCCCACCCCAGCGGTAGCCTGGTGATCCGGCCCGCCCCCTGGCGGCCGGGGAGGGAGGAGCCGGGCCCAAGGCCGGAGCGCGGGGCTGACGGGAAGCTTGTAACCCGGAGTGGTGCTGTGGGTGGAAACGCGGACCACCTCCTCCGGCCTGGCTGAGGCCGCGACGTAGATCGGCAAACTGCGATCTAGAGAAGGCATCAGGGCCAGAGCTGCTCAGCCATCCGTGTTTCACCCTCCACGCACCCCACCCGCATCGGCTCGAAAACCACCCATCCTTGTGCATGAAGCCCTGCTCGCCCGTTCTCTGCGAGAGAACGTCTCGCGCGAGCCCCGCTGCTAGAGCTCACGTGCGCTGCTCTCGGAGCCTCCGCCGGCTCCTCCCGCCTGGGCGGTTTGGGTATTTATTGACCTGTCCTCCGACCGGCTGAAAGCTCCAGGACCCTGCACCCTGACCCACGTTTTAGATGCACTGAAACCCCGACCTCCCTCGGTATTTATTGTCTCTCCCCACCTAGGAACCCCACCCCCGACCCCGGTGAATAAAAGGCTCCCTTGTCTGCCCAAAGCTCGGAACTCTGTGCCTGCTGTTTGCGGTGCGGGGAAGAGCTTGCTCGGCGGGCCAATCAGAAGGCGGGCGGAGGCGGCCAATGGCGCGCCGGGGACTAGCCGAGGCGGGCGAATCAGGGGCGTGGGCGGGTGTCAGGGGGCGTGGCCTAACAATTTAACCAATGGAGGAGGCCGACGGGCAACCCACCCCCGAGACACCGCCCGCTGTCCAGCTGTGGCCCAGCTGTGCCAGCGGCTCGCGGGGAAGAAGTGGGCAGCGCCCGCCGCGCGTGCGTCCACCCTCCTCCCACTGCGCCTGCGCGGGCCACGCGCATCCGCTCCAGGGACTTGCGCTCCAGAAAAGTTACAGCAAACTTTCTAGCCCGCTTCGCCCGCCCCTTCTCCGGGCCAGACCCGCCCCCCTGTGGAGCCGGGAATTCCGAGGGGCGGAGCGCGGGCCGAGATGGGGAGTGTGGGGGCATTCAGAGGACCCTGGAGACGGAGGCGTGCAGAAGCGCAGCCTCGGGGCGGAGGTGGCTTCGCGCCCTTAGCCCTCCCGGACGGCCCGTTACCTTCTCCGTTGTCCCGATGGGAAACTGAGGCCCTGAGCAAGAGGCACACGCGGGGGGAGGCCAAAAGAGCGGCCTGAGGCGGAGGGAAAACAAAGGGAGAATCACGGACAGACGAGGAGGGGGGACGGGCACACACAGACCCTGGGAGACCCTACTGGGGCGCGGGGCCAGGCACTGGGGGGTTCGCAGGGTGGACAGGGGGAGAAGATCGGGAAGCGCGAACGGAGGGGGGTGGCGAGGGGGGGACGGGCGGGGGAGGGGGCTGGGGAAAGCCCGAGGGAGGAGGAGAAGGAGGGAGGAACTTCCCAAAGTTGCAAAACATGGCTACCTTGCCTGCCGAGCCGAGCGCGGGGCCGGCTGCAGGGGGGGAGGCGGTGGCCGCGGCGGCGGCCGAAGAGGAGGAGGAGGAAGCGCGCCAGCTCCTGCAGACGCTGCAGGCGGCCGAGGGTGAGGCGGCGGCGGCGGCCGGGGCCGGGGCGGGCGACGCGGCGGCGGGAGCGGAGGGCCCGGGGTCCCCGGGCGTTCCCGGGTCGCCCCTCGAGGCCGCTGCCGAGCCGCCCACGGGCCTCCGCTTCTCGCCGGAGCAGGTGGCGTGCGTCTGCGAGGCGCTGCTCCAGGCGGGCCACGCCGGCCGCCTGAGCCGCTTCCTGGGAGCGCTGCCCCCGGCCGAGCGCCTACGTGGCAGCGACCCGGTGCTGCGCGCCCGGGCCTTGGTGGCCTTCCAGCGGGGCGAGTACGCCGAGCTGTACCGGCTGCTGGAGAGCCGCCCCTTCCCCGCGGCCCACCACGCCTTCCTGCAGGACCTCTACCTGCGCGCGCGCTACCACGAGGCCGAGCGGGCCCGCGGCCGCGCGCTGGGCGCCGTGGACAAGTACCGGCTGCGGAAGAAGTTCCCGCTGCCCAAGACCATCTGGGACGGCGAGGAGACCGTCTACTGCTTCAAGGAGCGCTCCCGCGCCGCGCTCAAGGCCTGCTACCGCGGCAACCGCTACCCCACGCCGGACGAGAAGCGCCGCCTGGCCGCGCTCACCGGCCTCTCGCTCACGCAGGTCAGCAACTGGTTCAAGAACCGGCGGCAGCGCGACCGGACCGGGGGCGGCGGCGGCGGCGCGCCCTGCAAGAGGTGAGGGAGGGGACCCGGGCAGCGCGGGGCCCGTTTCCCCGGGAACCTGCTGCCCACCAGCCCCCTCCTGGAGCCGGCGCCAACTCCTCCGGCGCCTCCCGCTCGCACCCTCCCTCCGGCGCCCGTCGGGCGGGAGGGACGGTGCGGATGCCACGGGCACACGTCCCGGCCGCTTCTCCCTCTGCTCCACTCAGGACCCCATCCTGGATCCCCATCCGTGTAGGCTAGGCTGGGAGACAGTGAGGAAAGGGGGCTCCGGGAAAGAGGGAGGGGCCTTTGTTCCCGCACCCGGCTTCGGCTTCGGGGCTTCTTTCTGGCCGCTGCGCTGCCCGGTCCTGCCCCGACCCCGGCTTTCCCATCCATCCTTCCCCGCCCCCCCCCCGCCCCCTCCGGGGCCCAAACGGCGTGGTCAGTCGTCTGTCTTTGTTGTGAAACGTGAACCTTCCCCAGCTCCGGTTTCCCTGTAACCCAAGCCCTTCCCCTCCCACCCAGCACGCCAGCCTCTCCCTCCCTCCCGCCTCTGACGCCCTGGGAGGGCACCGAGAGCTGAGCTGGCGGCCACCTCCTGGCTCTCCGCAGCCTCCGGGCTGCTTTCAGCCTGACCCCGGACCGGGCAGCCTGGGTGCTCCCTGCTCCGGCCTCCTCACTCCGGATTGGGGCAGCTTTGGCTTTTATGCAGTGATGCCCGTGCAGGGCTTGCAGAGGCTCTGCCCATGGGGTCCTTAGGTGGTCTCAGAGAGGAGGCTTCATACTCCCCCACCAGCATCCCCCCCATTGTTCCCAAAAGTTTGGGCTGGGAAAGATGGGGAGGCTCCTGCAGCTCTGTGCGGGCAGCTGGCTGGCCCGTGGGGGGACCAGCATTCAGCGCCACCGCTCACAATCCTCTCTCTGCACAGCGAGTCTGACGGGAACCCCGCCACTGAGGATGAGTCCAGCCGCAGCCCTGAGGACCTGGAGAGGGGGGTGGCTCCAGTGGCAGCGGAGGCCCCTGCCCAGGGCTCCATATTCCTGGCTGGGGCCGCCCCGCCTGCGCCATGCCCTGCCTCCTCCTCCATCCTGGTGAACGGGAGTTTCCTGGCCGCCAGCAGCTCACCAGCCGTGCTTCTCAACGGGAGTCCCGTCATCATCAACAGCCTGGCCCTGGGGGAAGCCTCCGGCCTGGGCCCCCTGCTGCTCACAGGGGGCGGGGGCGCCCCGCCACCACAGCCTAGCCCCCCGGGGCCCAGCGAGGGCAAGGTCTCCTTGGTCCTGGACCCTCAGACCGGGGAGGTTCGACTGGAGGAAGCTCAGCCTGAGGCCCCGGAGACCAAGGGGCCCCCGGTGGCGGCTGCGTTGGGACCGCCTGGGGAGGAGGTGCCAGTGCCTCTGCCCCAGGTGGTGCCTGGGCCCCCGCCGGCTGCCGCCTTTCCTCTGCCCCCAGGCCCAGTGGCTTCTGTGGCTGCTCCACAAGTGGTGCCACTTTCCCCACCCCCTGGGTACCCTGCAGGCCTGGGCCCCACCTCCCCGCTATTGAATCTGCCCCAGGTGGTGCCCACCTCACAGGTGGTGACTCTGCCACAAGCTGTGGGGCCACTGCAGCTGTTGGCAGCTGGGCCAGGCAGCCCCGTGAAGGTGGCAGCTGCAGCGGGCCCTGCTAATGTGCATCTGATAAACTCCGGGGTGGGCGTGACGGCCCTGCAGCTGCCTCCGGCCACGGCCCCAGGTACCCCTTCTGCCTCCGTCCAGCTGGGTGTGTGTGTGTGTGGGGGTTATCTCAGGGAGGAAGGGTGCTGTTGGTGGGCTTGGGTTAGGGTAGCTCATCCCTGTTATGTCCCAGAACCCCTTTGTGCCAGGTTGTGGGGAGGCTCAAACCACCCAGACTTAATCCCACTCCGCGGGGATCGGTTTGCCTCTGGCTAATCTCCCTCCTCTCACCTTCCAGCAGCTTAACTGCCACCTCTGCTCCCGGCCAGCAGCCCCCTCTAACCCTGTGCCTCCACGTCTCTCCCCACAGGAAACTTTCTCCTGGCCAACCCCGTGTCTGGCAGCCCCATCGTGACGGGTGTGGCCGTGCAGCAGGGCAAGATCATCCTCACTGCCACCTTCCCCACCAGCATGCTGGTCTCCCAGGTCCTGCCGCCCGCCCCCAGCCTGGCCCTGCCCCTGAAGCCAGACGCAGCCATCTCAGTGCCCGAAGGAGCCCTCCCCGTGGCCCCCAGCCCCGCTCTCCCAGAGGCCCACGCCCTCGGCGCCCTTTCTGCCCAGCAGCTGCCACAGCCACCAGCTGCCCCTGCCGCCACCATTGCTGCCAGCCTGCCCTTCTCCCCAGACTCCTCCTGCCTCCTGGCTGGCTTCCCGGCGCCCCCACCCGAAGGCCTCATGCTGTCACCTGCAGCCGTGCCCATCTGGCCTTCGGGCCTGGAACTGAGCACAGGCACAGAGGGGCTGCTAGAAGCGGAGAAGGGGCTGGGGACGCAGGCCCCCCACGCTGTGCTGAGGCTCCCGGACCCTGACCCCGAGGGGCTGCTCCTGGGGGCCACAGCAGGGGGCGAGGTGCAGGAGGGGCTGGAAGCCGAGACCAAGGTCCTGACCCAACTGCAGTCGGTGCCCGTGGAAGAGCCCTTGGAACTGTGACCCCGCCAGGCCTCTCGCCTCTCCTGACAATGGTGCTTGAGATCCAGGACAGCTGGGAGCAGGGAACCTTTCAGGCACACAGTTGTTGATCTGAAGATTCCACATACACTACACCCTCTCCCGGCTGTTTAACCTCCAAGCCCTGGACGTGCGGGGCTCACCCCTGTCCACGGGCACCGTCCCTCTGGATGGGAAGCCTCCTGTTACAGCCCTCTCCTCATTCTGCCCCAGATATGTGGGGAGACCTGGGGGGGTCCTGACTCAGGGGCTCTGCCCCCCTTGACCTGGTACGAGCCGTGAGCTGAAAACCCTGCAGAGTGGCTGGATTTGCAACCCCCTTGAGACCTCTCCCTATCACTCCCGAAAACACTATTAATAGCTCCTCTGACCTCCAGGGTTCTCAGAACGGCCTGGAAATCGGGTGGAGGACGGGCAGTGCTGGCCCGGGGACGGACAGCCTCCCAGCTGGGCTCTTCCAGCTGCAGCACGATGCAGGCGTGGGGAGGCCTGGGCGGGGTTCCCCTTCATCGTGTCCAGCCCCAGACCAAAGATCCCCTCCCCCGAGGGGCAGCCTTGACCCCGTGTTTAGTTTGTATCCTAAATCTTTATTTTTCTAGGACATGTTATGCCTACATTTCATTAAAATAAAGTTAACAGGCAACTAAATGCTCCAGGAGTTTGGGTTACTTTCCAAACAACTTTCCCAAAGCAAAACTGAGCCACACAAAACCCAATTCCAGATTCTGGCTTTCTGATCCCTGCACCCTGAAGGGCCGGGGTGGGAATCAGGTTTGTGGTGCGGAGGGAGAATGTGGTTTCTTTCAAACTGCGGGCCCTGGGGCCTCCAGATCCAGGTGGAAGGCGCGCCCCCAGGGCTGCTGGAGTGGGGGACCAGGGCCGCCTGCCTACTCTCCCTTGCTGGTAACAAGGGTTCCACTTAATTTTGTTGGCAACAATAAATAACCTATAAATAGAACAGGGGAGGGAGGAGTAGGATAAGGTGAGAATGAATGGGGTTGAAACCATTTGATTCTGGGGTAGACAAAGGCAGGTCAGAGGGGAGCCCCATCTCCTCAACTTCTCCCTCATTTCATCCAGAGCTTCCTTCCCCGGGGGAGAAAGGAGCTGCGAGAAGGGCAGAGTTCTGCTGCCCACATACAAGGCAAACACACAACGCATGGGGTCAATAAACCCCCCCACCTCCAGCCTGCGGGAACTGGTCAAGGAGACCTGCCCAGCAGGGCTGAGGCCCAGGAGGGGGCAACCTCTTCCTCATTGGCTCCAGGTTTCAAACGGGCCGCGGAGCTGCGGGCGGGGAGGAGAGGTGAAGTGGTTACCGCTCATCTGTGGCGAGAAGGCAGCTGAGCGGCGGGCTGTGAGGCACCCTGGGCCCGGTCCGCCAGCAGCTGGTAGAAGGGCTTGGGCACCCCCCAGTCCTCATCCTCACTGCTGGAGCTTTCCTGCTTCACAATCCGATTGTGCTGACGGCTGAACCTTCGCGCTTTGATGCTGGGGGGAGAGGCAGTGGGCGGGCGGTTCCTCACTGGCTTCTGGGGCTCTGCCTCACCACAGTGCCCTGGCCCGCAGCGGCCAGGGCCTGAGCTGGAAGGGAGGCAGGGCTTTCCCTGGTCCCACAGGGCGGGGAACCCCTGGCCCGGTCTATATCACAGGACTCCATAGGGGCACTTTGCTGAAGCCCCACACTCCTGTCAGTCTCTGCACACTGAGGGCCAGCTGGGAAACAGGCAGGTGAAGAGGAGGGGGTTTCCAGAAGCGAGGGGAGAGGGAGGGAGAGAGGGAGGAGGCCAAGTGAAAGGGGAGACCCAGTTTCCTGCTTCCTGCTCTGAGAAATGCCCTCCGGCAGAGAGGGCAAAGGAAATTTAGGGCAGCGGGGCCAATCCCAATTAAGGTACTTGTCCTTCTAAGCTCCAAGGTAGAGCACCTTTCTACCTGTCACCCCGAATATTTCATAAAAGTTTGCAACATCCAAACTCCCTCCCCAGGAAACTCCCAGCCTGTTTCCAATCTCACGAAGCTCAAGGCTCTGACAGCCACGCAGGGTGAGGCGAGGAGGGAGGCCCTCCGCTCCAGCAGGCCGCTGGGCTGCTCACCTGTATGGTCTCCGCTCCTGCTCCGTCATCTCCCGCCAGAGCTGGGCCAGCTGTTTGGTGGCAGTTGTGGATGCAGTGCCCGGGCAGGCTCTGGGACAGGAGGGAGGCGGTAAGGGGAGGCCTGCGTGGGCAGAGACCCAGCTCTGACCTGACCCTTGCCCTCTCAGAGCCTCAGCTTTTCCTTTGAGGACTCAGCTCGTGCCCTCCTAGGTTAGATACCTTGAAAGGACCCTATTACACACCCTGGAGCTGAGGCATCAAAAGGGGGTGCTGACTAAATGATTGTTGGAAAGACGCCCCCTGTATCCTCTGCTCCCAATACCAGCCCTGCATCTTCCCGTAAGGCACCAGCTCTTCTCCCCTGTGGCTGGGGGGCCTCCCATCCCCCGGCTTCAGGCTGGCAATGATGGGTTCTGGGTTGGGCTCCTGATCTACCAAGTCGGACCCAAGAACTTTGTCTTGCAAACTTAGGAGTGAGGAGCTCTCCTCCCACAAGGCTGCTAGGATGGGACTAGGACATCATGAGCCTGGACCTTCCAGGACTGGCCTTGCCCAGCCGGCCCCACCTGCCTGAGGCGGAAGCCATCTGGAAGAGAGAGGCACCAAGAAAGGGACAAGGACTCCAGGCCCGCATCGGCACCTAATCTACCCCTGTCTTTTTTGGGTTATGTGAGCCATTTTCTGGGGGAATGTGTGGCTGAGGACAGTGCCCACGGGTCAGCTAGCAGCGGGCAACATGCTCTGAGAGGCAGCAGCCAAAGAGGACCCACCGGATGTACTGCTTCCGGTTCATCCTACAGAACATGATGAAGCCGTTGACACACTTCTTCTTTGGCTGCGTGGAGCAGGGGGCTTTCTTGTTCTTGAGCTTCACGGGGCGGCCGCCTGCCCGGCCCCTCCTGCCCTTCCTCCTGGCCGCGGGCAAGGTGGACGCCCGCCGGGTGGGGGTCCATGTGTGGTCTCCATCCTCGTCGCTGGCGGACTTCAGGTCCGCAGGGTTGGCCTGAGCGTCCTGGGCGGGGGCAGAGAGATGAGAGCTGGCAGGAGAAGCGGGACCCACCTCCATGGCTGCCCCCCTCACCTGCTGCCTCCACACCAGCTCGGTGTCCATGTCGGTGACCAGACCCTCGGAGCTGTCCTCACTCAGCGAGAGGCGGCCCAGGGACGCTGAGGACAGGCACAGGCTGTGGGAGTCACAAAGGTCTTCAGGGGCCTCAGTGGATGTGCCCTGGGAGGGGATGTGAGCAGACATCCGTGTCCCTTCATGCTCCAACTCACTGCTTTCCTAGGAAATGAGCGTGAGAAACGTCTCAGATTCAAGACAGCCTCATCCAAACACCCTCTGGACATTCAAACAAATGTTCCCAAGTTCCTCCGGGGTCCGAGGGCGACTCTATTGGGGTGAGCTCTTCTGCCTAATTTGGGGGCAATATTTCTCTCTTTTTTTAAAAAAATATATTTTATTGATTTTACACAGAGAGGAATTGAGAGGGATAGAGAGTTAGAAACATCGATGAGAGAAAAACATCGACCAGCTGCCTCTTGCACACCCCCTACTGGGGATGTGCCCGCAACCAAGGTACATGCCCTTGACCGGAATCGAACCCGGGACCTTTCAGTCCGCAGACCGACGCTCTACCACTGAGCCAAATCGGTTTCGGCGGGGCAATATCTCTTAATCTCATCAGTTACCACCTCACCAGGTAGCCGTGATGTCCCGGGCACGTCTTAACTTCTCTAAGCATCTATGTCATCTACAGACCAGTCTCACTACATGTCTTGCAGGGCTGAGAAGCACTTAGCACAGTGCCTGGCACTTACTGAAGCCTCCACTAAGGGCATCTATTTTCCTACTACTCCCTTCAACTGCTCATTGAGGCATTGCCCCCCCACACACACACACACGGAGGAAGAGTGGTTTGGGGACCGGGCAAGGGCTGCCCCTTGGTCAGGTGGATAGGAAACCCTGGAGCAGACAGTGGTGACAGAGGTCAGGGTGGGGCTTGGGAGGGAGCTCTTTCCAACTGAGGATTCCTGAGGTTGCTCATCTATTTTCTGTCAAAGGGGGGGTCCCAGAGACGCTGGTTTCATAGAGCAGTTGTAATATTATGTGGGGTCTTTTATGGGCACCTAGCAGTTTTAAAAAAAAAAGTGTATTTTTATTGATTTTTAGAGAGAGGAAGGGAGTGGGATAGAGAGAAACATCAATTGTGAGAGAGAATCATTGATCGGCTGCTTCCTGCACGCCCCCTACTGGGGACCAGCCCACAACCTGAGCATGTGCCCTGACCAGGAATTGAAACTTAACCTCCTGGTTTGTGGGCTGATGCTCAACCACTGAGCCACACCAGCCAGGCCCTGACAGCCTTTTGGCTCTCATCCCTTTTGTCTAGTTCATTCCAAGTGCCCAGCATGGGGTGGGCCAACAGTGAGCATTCAAAGGATGAGCAGATGAGTCTCTGGAAATGTTGAAGGGATGGATGAGTGAACTGAGCAGGCGAGTGACTCATGGAAAGCAGGACGGCCGTTCCTGTGGATGGAGGGGTGAAGAGATGCCTACCTTCTCCAGTGGGACGTCCAGCCCGCAGGCAGAAGGTGAAGACACAGGATCTAAGAAAACTTCTTCAAAGAGAGCTGTCCGGGAGGGAAGCCAGAGGTTGGTATGAAAATGGCTCCCTCATGGCACCAGGGCTCTGTGCCACTCCATAGGTTTCAGGATCTCCTCCACCATATTCAAATCTAGCTCCCAGGCCGCTCCCTGGGGCCACCTCCACCCTAGGCAGAGGGGGGTGGTCCCTGCTATAGGCTCTGGAGCCTCCTGCTCCCTACACTGGCCTGGGGCTCCCCCACATTCCACTAGGCTAGGGGCTCTTTGAGGCAGGACCGGAC